CCAGGACCCTGGGATCATGACCTGAGCTGAAGGCAGACGCTTAACCGACTGAGCCACCCAGGCGTCCCGAGAGGTAGTCTTTCTTAAGGGGAAGGAGGCGAAGTTGGGAAGGCTGTTACAAACTACAGGTACACTGGAGTGAAAGTGGGAGTTGTGGCTTCTCATTGGCTGAGCTGTTGGGTGGGGCGGTCAGGACAGACTGTCTTTTTGGGTCTGGGGTAATGAAGTAGTATCCCATATAAATAAGGTCAAGTCCCTCTTTTGCTGTTAGGTTTGCAGTCCAACAAGGGGTAGTGCCTGAGAGCTCCCCGCCCCCTCAAGCCTGCAACCTCCTGATACCATTTTAGTGAGGTTTCCCACTGTTAATGTACACAGGTCCTAGTAGCGGAAGAGATGGAAGCTTCCATCAACCTGATGAAGTCAGCAGTAGGTTAACTGTCCTTGGGGATACCTAAGGTTTTTTGACGTTGTTTACGATCTCTGATGTTTCAGAGAAGTGTGAGTGATGGTATCAAGTGGGCAGCTGGACAGGAAATTTTGGGAAACTGGGGGAAAGTTTCATGATGGAGGGTTTGAAAATTGATGGCTACTGTGTGGACCAGGGTGGAGATCTGGATCACATTTAGGAAGGGAATGCAGAGTATCATGGTAATACTGCTAGTAGGTCAGAGGGTCCTAGTAAAGTCTGCTGAAGAGTGGTTTTCTTCCTCAGCATGTGGTTGGGGTCGCTGGGCATTGTGAACACAGGTGAAGGAGAGAGAATGATCTGGCAGAAACATGGGCAAGCCTTCCCTGGGATGATGGGATAAGAGATGGCTAGGACACCTAGGAGTAATTTTGCCAAGATGACAGTGAAGTTGGGGCTGCTCTTTATTCAGTGGTCTAGAGCTTCACAGAATTTTGTGATGAGTTTTTACGGTGCCTGGGGTGTTTCAGAGTCTTGCTGGTAGTTAAGGTCTGGACAAATGCAGTCATTTCTGCTTTGCTCTGCCTGGCAGGGAGACCCTTAGGGCTGGGGTTTTCACAAAGGTTCAGTAGAGGATGGTTTGTTCCCGATTGTGGAGGGACAGAATGGGCAGCAGAGAAGTAGAAGAGGGTCTGTGAGTATCCTAAGCTGACATGTGGTTGTGTCTGTCTGTTACTGAAGTGAGTATTACAGGCAGGTGAAGAAGGCTTCTCAGCAGCATTTGAGGCTTTCCCTCATTTGGGATCCATGAGAGTCCTGGGGTAGGATTGGAACCTGTTTGAGTTTGTCCTTTGGATATCATGTGACAAATACAAGTGTGAGTCAAGGGAGGATCCTTTGGTGTGGGGCAGGAAGGTGTGGGAGTTCATCTGTGGGGTCCGAAGACGTGAGAGTGGTACAGTCTACAGAATCCTGTACACATGGAGTGTCAGCTAAAGGCCTCAGTGCCCTGGTATTGAAGACTTCCTGGTAGAGCAGGGCCTATAATTGGCTGTCTTGAGGGCACAACCTGGGAGACTCCATGGGAATATCGTGGCAGAGGGATGGGACCTTGCAGGCCAGACCCACAGCTTAGAGTGCATCTCCGTGTCCCCCTGCCTGTTACTGCTGAGGACTGAACGCAGTGATTGATGGGAAGGTGAGAGGAGAGCAGCATTAGAGGCACCAGGACCTGGTATTTATTCTGAGGTGGGGAGACTGGGGTGGATGTGGCGGGGGTTGGATTATGTGTTCTCAGAGAGAGAATGTTCATGGTTTCCTC